TTATAATGGTCAAAGTGTTAAACTTCCTCTTCTTGTGGTTGAAGGAAATGGACCGCCATTACTAGGTAGGAACTGGTTAAGTGATCTTAAGTTAAATTGGGAGAGTATTTGTTCATTGAAGAATGTAAAAGAATCTAGTCTTACTTCACTAGATAAAGTTATATCTGAAAATAAATGTGTTTTTGGTAATTCAGGTTTACTAAATGATAGAACAGTGAAGTTAAGCATTAAAGATACAAATCCAAGATACTGCAAAGCTAGAGTTCCACCTTATGCAATGAGGAATAAAATTGAAAATGAGCTAAGTAGATTGGAATCTAATGGCATTATAAAGAGGGTAGACTATTCCGATTGGGCGACACCCATTGTGCCAGTGTTAAAGAAGGATGGTTCTATAAGAATTTGTGGAGATTATAAGACTACACTGAATAAGCAAATAGAGCTAAATAGGTACCCTATACCTAACATTGAGGAAATTTCTTTGAATTTGGCAGGAGGAGACAAATTCACTGAATTAGACTTTAGTCATGCTTACACTCAACTAGAACTGCATCCAGATTCAAAAGTCTATACGACAATAAACACACATAAAGGACTCTACCAATATGAAAGACTATGTTTTGGCATATCATCTAGCCCTGGAATTTTCCAAGCTGTCATGGACAGTATTTTTAAGGATATTCCAAATGTTTGTGTGTACTTTGACAATGTGTACATAACTGGTAAGAATGACACTGAACATCTTAAAACACTTGATAAAGTCTTGAAAATTGTTGGTGAAAAAGGTTTAAAGATAAACAAAGATAAATGTCAATTCATGTTGACAGAAATTAGTTTTCTTGGTTATATATTAAGCAAGCAAGGTATCAGACCTCAACCTGAGAAAACAAAAGCCATTAAAGAAGCACCCAAACCTGAAAATACCCAACAACTGAGAGCTTTTTTGGGCTTGATAAATTACTATGCAAAGTTCATAGGAAATCTGTCTGGTAAACTATCACCACTGTACAAGCTGCTACAGAAAAATGCAACTTGGCACTGGGGTAAACAACAAGAAGCTGCTTTTAATACAGCAAAAGAGGCTTTGTCTGCTGACACCTTACTAACTCACTATGACCCAGGGAAAAGACTTATATTAACATGTGATGCTTCACCAGATGGTGTAGGAGCAGTCTTGTCCCACATGGATGAGAAGGGTGACAGACCCATTGCTTTTGCCAGTAGATCTTTGAACCAGGCTGAGAAAAATTATTCTCAGTTAGATAGGGAAGACACCAAAAATGATGTTAAGAAATTTCATAAGTTTCTGTTTGGTAGGAAGTTCACCATCTTTACAGATCATAAACCATTGCTAGGTTTATTTGGAGAAAACAAAACCCTACCTGAGCATGCCTCACCAAGGATTCAAAGATGGGCTATCACACTAACTGCATACAATTATGAATTGAAATACAAACCTGGATCTGAGAATAGTGCAGATAGTCTTAGTAGATTACCTTTAAAAAACCAAAGCCTGAGCTATGTACCAGAAGATGTATTTGTTCTCTTCACTATCATGGATAACTCCAATATAAATGTGAATGATATTAAAAGAGAAACACAAAAAGATGAGTGCTTAATAAAAGTATATGAGTACTTGTAATTTAATAAATGATTATGGTGATATGGCAATTTCAAATGTTTTAAAGAGAATACATTAGTAAGAAAGAATGTGATCATCAAACAACTTTGCTAACATCATTAGCACTTACAGAAACTAAAAGGGTAACATCAAAAGAAGAAAAAGATTTTTGCCATTTAATACACCCACTTCAAATACTGGATCACAGTTGCAAAGTGATATGGTCCAGAATATTACTCATAAACAGTATTTTTGGTTACCAAAAAGCACTATCAGATTACCTGAGGAAATTGATCAATCAAAGAAATCTATGTCAGTCAAGGATCTGAATAACAGCATAATACTTTCAGATGCCAATTCAAAAATAGTTCCATTAAATCATGACAAAACATTCATTGAAGGAGAATTTGGTGTTAATAAGAATGTGTATCTAAGAAATTATGGGAGAAAGGAAAAATGGATACCAGGTCAAATTGTTCAATGTACAGGACCTGTGTCTTATAAAGTTAAAAATAACTTGTGCAGATAACAAGTGTGAATCTGTCAATCCCACCAAATCTGAACAGTTCCACAACCAAGTTCTGTTGATATGAGTGAACCAAGTTGTCTAGAGTCAGAAAATGTAAATTCTGGAGTTAATGATTTAAATCCTAGACCTCCTGAGATAGAGAATCCAGATGGTCAGAATCTTGAGTCACCAAATCAAAAGCCACTGAGAAGGTCAAGCAGGACAATCAAAGTCCCAAATAAGTTAGACCTATGATTCTAAAGGTCAAAAGGACTTTGACATTATTGTTTTGTATTTTGATTATGTTGTAGCATATTGTGCATTGTTTGTAAGGATGTAATCTACCATAGTGTTCATGTTACAATATAATTGGTGATTTTAGGATACTATCAATTGTTCTATTGAGAGATGTGTTATTGTGTTCTAAGGGTAAAGGGATGTAATAGATTGAAATAATTGTGAGGTCAAGGGAACTCACTCTTCTGTATTAGTTATATTTATAATATTGTTATCTTGAGTGATGTCCCTTGTGTACTTCCTTCCGTCCTCTCTGTGTGTTACCATCGTGGTAGTTAGACCCAATTAAACGTGTTATATACAACCACAGGCTTCTGTCGTCAATCTATTATAACATGACTTGTATTGTGAAAAATAGGCAGACGTTCAAACCACTTCCATGACTTATTTCCCTTTTTTAAATAGTCAAATAGTGTGCTCTTAAGAAACTTTTAATACATTTGCACTAAACAAATTAAAAAGCAATTACTTCTCTTAATTATTATTTTTTTTTAAATACATAATAAAGAATGACATAGTATAAAAAGGAAATGTATTACAAACTAATAATATAAAAACAAAAAAAAACATAAGGCGAGAAACCATTACACATACAAAGCTTTCATGCTTCATATTCTTTTGACCGACTTGTAATTTAGGAAGGATTATGTCAGACATTAAAACAGAGAATTTCAAAATAGACTAATAGCACTCACACAAATGATGTGTTGTTTTAATATGTTTTAATTAAAAATAAAATCTAAGAATTTATAATTTTTTTCAAATTTCGAACAAGCCTGTATTGAGTATTCTATGTTCGTATTTCCTATTTTCGTATATAGGGTCCGATTATATATATATATATATATATATATATATATATATATATATATATATATATATATATATATATATATATATATATATATATATATTAATTTATTTATTTATTTTTTTTTTTGCGGGGTGGCCCCTTTTTTTCTAGTTCCGCCACTTAACTCAATTCCTTCATCTGTCGTCGTGAGTGAAAATGTGTGAACTTAATAAATTTCACTCACTTCTACTCTAGATCTACTCTGGATCTACCGAACCGATTTCTTGAAAACTCGACCCTTACTTAAAGTAAGATTTGATTAGAACACGCTTTATAAAGTAGGCTACTAATTCACTATTACGCGTTTGACAAGAAACTGCCATGATACCCAATGGCTTTATAATGATTTCGGTCGGGGGGGGGGGGGGGGGGGGGGGGCTTATAGAGTCACAAGTCTATAAAACATTGATTTTTTTTTGTTGTTGAAAAATTTACTGAGTCGATCACCGTTGAGTATATAGATCTAATTTTAGTACAGTTTACACAAATAATCTTTTTCAAAAGCGCGGAAATTTAGTTTCTAGCATCGAATTTCAACATGCATAAGTGTGACACACTTTCTGAATCTCCCCCCCCCCCCCTTCCTCCGAATTGCCACACATCGTCACAAAAATACGAACCTCCCTCCTAGGAGTGAGACGTCAGTTTATGGATGACCTCATACTATTAATAGATCTATTTATTTGCTACTGAATACCTTCATTAAATAAGAAATTTATGAGCGACCCACGCTTTTATTGATAGCTACAGACACGCGTATACGCGTCTGTATGCCTAAATTAATGGCCTATAGATGGTGGTCAGTGTTTTTCGGCCAAACTTTTTCTCAGGGGGGGGGGGGTCACTTGATTTTTTTTTTTGGGGGGGGACTACATTTTTCGGGGGGGGGGGTGCGGACAATGTTAAAAGTTTATATTTTCCATATAAATTCCATTTCGTTGACGTTTGTGGTGGCGGTAGAATCTGGATGGGGTAGAGGGAGTGGGGTGGGGGGAAGGACCAAGTCGGGAAGGGTCGATATGAAAAGTATCACAGTCTCATTGTTTCAGTTTTTAAGGTTTTTTTCAGTTGAGCTTAAACTTTTTCGTCAATGGAATTGGAGATCTAGATTTCAAAAAAGATCTCAGGTGATGCAATGGAAAACGAAAGTAGCCAGCTGATTAGAATAATACACACTGCACTATTTATAGCAAACCATATCTACAAGCGTTCATATCACTACGCATACGCGAGAAAATCAGTACTTTTTCCAAATATACAATACAACCGTTTAAAAATTATAATATTATTTTTTACATTTAAATTCGTATATTTTACTCTTTAAATAATTATAGTTTGCTACATGCGTAAAATGCATTTTCTTAAATGACCATAGATCTATAGTGCTTGCGCATTCATAAGTGTGTTTTAGTTGTGAATCGGTTTACTATACAATGTCGTGGAGCCGAGTGTGTAAGGACTAACTAGATCTATACATTCTAAAAGCATAAGTAAGTGTGCAACTTCGTTACTCAATATAGAATTAGTGTTGAAAATATACACACATCGACTATTACTAGTTTGCATGAACTATAAGATAATTAAACAGTTTAAACACGTTACAGTTGTTTAATGATCGATCGGGTAGGTCGGGTTTGTTGTCGTGAGTTTTGGACTTCTTGTAATGGCTGAATTTTGTAGATCAGGGTTAATCTACGAGATGTGGGTCTAGCATAGCTCTGACTTTCTTTATCAATTTTATTGGTAGGGTTAATTTTTTTTAGTATTTCGTTCTTCTCCTGCGATTCTTAACTTCACTATTAGTGTCTAGATCCAGTCTAGGAAATGCATTATTAATGCGAAGCTTGAATGCCATACGCCATGTTTATTCCTTGGTTTACTACACAATACTCAGTCTCGTTTGGAAGGCTCGTTTTTCCCAGGCAAGGGAAACTACTCGATAAATTGTAGCATGAGTGTAATTTCGTAATAATTGAAGTGGTATGTCGATAAAGTGGATATATTTTAAAGATAAACCATTCCGATAGTTAGTGTTTTAAAAATAACAAAGTTAACACTAATTATTATACTAATAACTTCACTAATGCGTTAGTAATAAGGGGGGGGGGGATTTTCATATTAAGAAAACTGACCTGATACTAGGCCTCTGAGGCTAATAAAAGTTTGGCATTTGGGCTAGGCCTAATTAATTAATTAATAATTAGCCTAATAATTATTAATTAGTAATTAGGGACTACTTGATGTTGATAGGCCTAACCCTAAATTAAATTATTAAAACATTTAGGCCTAGGTTTTAGCCTATTATTTCAAATGTACCCCCACTCAGCCATTGCAAAGCTAAGCTTTTTTTTAGGCCCTATACTATATAACTAAACTATACTTTGAAGACATGATTACTTGCATTTTAAATTAGGCTATACAAAGAGAGGCCTACATTTTAAAAAATGTAGGCCTAGATCTACATGCTAAAGCTAATTACTAGCATGAACCAATAGGTTCTTTTCATCACCCATTCATTTTTCCCCCTTCTTTATGTAATTAATTTTTCTGTTTAGTTTTAATTGACAACAAATACTACAATGGCTGATCCACCTATACATGGACCAGATAGGATTATGGTTTTTCGGCCAACATTTGAAGAATTCAAAGACTTTAATAAATATATTGAATATATTGAATCCTGTGGGGCACATAAGATGGGATTAGCTAAGGTAGGTCACATATTTGCAACCTTTTTATTTGAATCTTTTCTCGTACTATTAGTGCCTATGTTATGATTTTTTTTCTCCACTTGTAAGGGTTATATTTCATTTGCTTACAGTGTTTGTAGTTAAATTTATAAATAGTATTAAATAGTTCACAAATATCAAGTGCTCTTAAAAAATGTTCTAACAATTTTCAGATAATACCCCCAAAGGAGTGGGTACCAAGAAAGAAAGGCTATGATGATATAGATCTTATGATCCCTGCTCCCATAGAACAGATAGTGACAGGCCACCAGGGATTGTACACACAGTTTAATGTACAGAAGAAAGCCATGCACGTTAAAGAATTTGAAGAGCTAGCTAATTCTAAAAAGTGGGTTTGCTTTCTTATAAGATTTTTTTTTTACTTCAGTTTAACAAAAGAGTTTAGTATGACCAATAAAGTAAATAATTGGAATTTTTTGCATTTCACATAGAGATACATTTGTATGTGCACGTTAGGCAATTCTTGTCATTTTCTTTTTTAACACTGCTTTATCAATATTTGTATGCTCAGGTACCGTACTCCAAGTCATTTTGACTATGAAGATTTAGAAAGAAAATATTGGAAGAATATCAGTTTTGGTGCCGCCATATATGGAGCTGACATAAACGGTTCTATCACTGACGATGACCAGGACTACTGGAACATCAACAGATTAGGCACCATACTGGATCATGTGAAAACTGATTATGGCATTCAAATAGAGGGTGTCTGCACAGCATACCTTTACTTTGGTATGTGGAAGACAACCTTTGCGTGGCACACAGAAGATATGGACCTTTACAGTATTAACTATCTCCACTTTGGTGCCCCAAAGTCATGGTATGCCATTCCTCCTGAACATGGGCAAAGATTAGAACGCTTGGCTCAAGGTTGGTTTATTTTTTTATTTTTCATCTACATATTATTTTTGGAAGTTTAAAATGCATAATTAGGTACATCACGTTGTTTTGGCAGTAATATTAATTGTTTTGTTCTTGTTCTCAGGATTTTTCCCCACTAGTTTTAGTGAATGTTCAGCCTTCCTGCGACACAAGATGTCTTTAATTTCCCCATTTATACTTAAAAAGTACTCCATACCATTTCATAAGGTAGGTGATATATGTTGCTTATTATTTGAAGGTTTTAGAAAGTAGTTATATTTTCAGGATGTTTGTTTAAAATTTTTTTTTTAATAGATCACCCAAGAAGCAGGGGAGATAATGATAACATTTCCCTATGGCTACCATGCTGGTTACAACCATGGTTTTAACTGTGCAGAGTCTACTAACTTTGCTACAAAGAGATGGATTGAATATGGAAAACGTTGCCTGCAGGTAGATAGGATAGTGACATTGTTGTTTCTGGTAGCTATTTGGTTATAATGTTTCACAGAGAGATGCTCATAACAACCTTCACCTTTATTTTAGTGTGTGTGTAGGAGAGATGGTGTCAAGATTTCTATGGATATTTTTGTCAAGACATACCAGCCTGATCGCTATGAACTTTGGAAAGCTGGTAAAGACATAGCTCCTCACCCAGAAGGGCATAGGGATAGTAACCGGACAAACAACAGGTATATTTTTATTTCTGTTTTTTTTTCTATATTTAGTAATTCGTTTGCAATAACATTTTTAGACTTATAGGGTTGGGTTTTGTTGTCAACATTTATTTTTTAAAATTTTCATCTAAAAAAATTTATTACAAACATAATTTTTCAACATTATATTTTTAGGGTTTTAAATTATTAGTTTTTCTAGTACAGTATGATAGTTAGCAAATTTTGGTTGTTATAAATAAATATGCTTTAAAAAGTCTTAAAATATACAACTGAATATTCTAATAGAAACCAAAATGTTTTTCCTGATGATGAGAATAACTCAGTTTTTTTATTCGGTGGGATTTTTGCCACTTGACAAATTGTTTCAAAAGTTTGCGGTTGCTTGCAGGTCATCCAAGAAAAAGATTGAAGCAAATAGCTCAGGCACTGCTCATTCTAGACGTCACCCTCTGAAAGATGACTTCCCCAAGTCAAGTGTTGACCAGGTAGCTGACGTTTCTAAAAGCAAAATTAAAAGCACTAAAAAAACTAAGCAGCCTGTAAATGATTCTGAAGAGAACCCTGTTCCAAAAAAGAAAGCCAAAAGAAAAAAGGCTAATCAAGCTACAAGCGAGGATTCTGAGAAACAGAAGTGTGAGGCGTTAGTTGCTTTAAACTCTGCTCCTTCTAATTCTCAACCATCCCAAGAAGAATCCACAAAGAAACAAGTCATTGATGAATATCTGAAGCTCCCCCGACCGAAAGAAGTTGAAAATACTAAGCCGAAATTGATGACAGCGTTTCAGGAAGCTTTTCTTAAGACACTTATGCCGAATGGTGGGCCAAATTTGTTGGCAAACAGACCAGATGAGCAAAAGGCTGCTCTTAGCAAGGCGCCATATAGTTCTGTTCTCCCCCCACCACAGCATTCTACAGCCTCCGTCAACAATGGAAAAACCTGTGTATGGAGCGCCATTTACTCAACGCCAGCTCAGCTGGCTCAGGCTAGCGCCAACAAGGCAGCGAAGGGTAACTCCCCAGTTGTTGTGGATAGAAACCAGTCAGCGCAATCTGCAAGTCAGGCACCGGCAGTTGAACAGGTTAATGTGGTACCCCAGAGTACCGCAGCTGATGCTAACAAGATGCCAGCCATGAGCTACAGCCAGACTTTTTCAACTGCTGGACCAGTTGCCCCTCAAGCCAGTTACAACCCAGTTAACAGTCAATGTGTTACGACACCACATCACAGTGTTTTGTCAGGCCAGCACCATGCTGCCCCATCACAGGCTCAGATGGTCCATTCTCTACCGGGTCAAGTCAGTCAGACCGAAGCTTATCATCCTTATCCAAGTAGTGTGGCACAGCAAGCTCATGGTTCTAATGTTTCATTTCTATCTAAGTCGTCCCAGTTTTTACAAGGCACACTGAACCCCTCTTCAAACCACTCTGGATGGCTAAACCAAAATCAAGTTTCAAATAACTCTGGATGGCCTAACCAGAACCTTGTGTCAAACTCCGGATGGCCTAACCAAAACCCAGTATCAAACAGCTCAGGGTTGCCTAACCCTACAGTTCACTCAAGATGGCCTGACCAAAACCATGCTTCAAATAACTCTGGATCTTCTAATCAGAATCCCACTACAAATAATTCAGGATGGCCTAACCCTAACCAACACAGATCACCTGCTTTTAACTCTGTGATGTCTGTCCATTCCCCAAATATTTCTAGAAATCCCCCCCACCCGACTCAAGTAGCAGCTCCTAAAACTAACCCTGATCATGCAACACTGACCGTTATACACTCACCACAAGGACAACCTGGCTTAAATAAACCTGCAGGGGATTTCCAGATGATGAGAAATCAGCCCACTCAACCACACAAAGCCCCAGTCATGTCCACTGGTCAGTTTGGATTCCTACAGTATTCCCCACAACGGCAGTTCCCAAATGAAAATGTGCAGAGTCCTAGAACACAGCCCCAACTTCAGGGTGATACCAACAACTTAAAGATGACTGTAATAGCCACATCAGGGGGAACGTCTGGCGGAAGAACTGCTGTGTTCAATGGTGCTAAACCGCAACAAATGCCAAAATTAGAAGCCACTCGTCCAATGCATATCATTACATTAAATAATCCTAGTCTTTTGAGGAATTACCTTACTCCCACTACATCCTCAAACTCTATGCATTTGATCGCCAGTGGTTCTCAACATTTGCTGCCATCACAGCCCCAGAAAACCACTGGTCCTCCACAAATGTCAATGCTGCCCCAGACAGCCAATGGCCCTCCACATATGATGTCATCACAGCCCCAGACAGCTAGTGGCCCTCCACAAATGATGCAGTCACAGCCTCAGACAGCTAGTGGCCCTCCACAAATGTCAATGCTGCCCCAGACAGCCAATGGCCCTCCACATATGATGTCATCACAACCCCAGACAGCTAGTGGCCCTCCACAAATGATGTCATCACAGCCCCAGAAAGCACATCTTCAGCACAGCACAGTACCCCAGCAATTTCTGACTTCATCCCTCTCACAAAATCACCCAAAGCCAAGCAGCACAGTCCAATCAGCTCAGTTCAATCTTCCGCCCCAGTCATTTGCACAAGCCAACTCTACTCCATCTAGAATCATCACAGTCTCCCAGCCTCAAGGCCGCAGCCTCATTAGTCTACTGGGACAACCTGTTTCAAGCTCTAATCAAACAGCCACCAGCACAAACCAGCCAAGAAGCAGCACAAGCCCAGCATTTCAAATCATCAACCCCTCATCCCCATCCATCACCTTGTACAACAGCAGATTCATCCAGAACCCCTCCAAGGCTCCAGTAGCAAATCTGTTCTCTCAGCAGTCCAGCCAGCAGCCTGTCAAGCTTGTCCTCAGCCCCCACCAGCTGCTGGCCAACTACCTGAGGGGTCAGGTCATCAGTGCTCCACAACCTGGCAAGTCTGCTCCACCCCAGATACAGATATTAACAAACAGCAGCCAGAGTGCCAGTCAGGGTACTTCCACTCCCCAGAGGGCGCCACAGCAAACTTCAGACCAGCAAGCCCAGATACAAAGCATGCAGAAGATTCATAACTACTCTCATGTTGAGCAGAGCCACGCCAGACCACAACAGCCGGCAGCATCCAACGTGGTGGTCAACATGTCCCAGGGTCCCAACCTCCCCAGCACTCAGATGCCTGGTGTCTCAGTGGACGAGCGTGTCAAGCAGATCTTGGAGACGGCTAAACTCCTACAGCAGCAGCAGGTTGAGAAGCTGGTAGACAAGCCCAAACCTAAGAGGAATAGAAAGAAATCATCAGATAAAAAGCAGACTACTGTGGCCTCCACAACACCTAGCAGTGTTTCTGTGGCTGAAACTTTGCTCCAAATGGCCCATGGTAAAACCTCTGCCCCTATCTATATTCTACAAGCTCAGCACCAATCACCAGCAACGGTACTTCATGTGAATACATCAGAATCTCCCACAGAGGCACCCTACCTGTCTCCACAAATCTCAGCTCATTCATTGCAAGGCTGCCCCGTCCTCACTCCACAAACTAACATCATTCCTCAGACATCGCCTCACAATGCCACAATTCCAGAGTTGACCTCCCAGAAAGCAGTTGTTGTCCAGACTCCAAACAGTCAGCCTTTATCAAGACCCCCATCTTTATCTCCTGCACTGAGCGACAGAATGCCCATCCTGACCCCCTTCAAGAACTCCCAACCCATTGAGTCTGGCATAGTTTCCACCTCCCAGGAGTCTTTTCGCTCCAACTCCTCCCTGTCCTTATCCTCCTCGTGTAATGAAATGTTCCACACCTCCTTTGACCAGCCAGACTACAAACTAGAATCCCAGTCATCACTAGGTTCCTTTGTAGAAGCTGCCTGTGTCATTCAGGAGCCATACCTGAATGAGTCCCTGCACTCCCCTGCTTCAGACAGATCCATGGATCTTATCATTGACAGCAGCACCGCTCCAAATCCTGCCAGTTTTTTAGAGCTGGGCCCCTCACATGAAAGTCCCCCTCCAGACCAGATGAAAGCCAGAGCTCCTGAGACAGGCGAGGCAAGCGCTGTGGAGGTGCCAAGCATGTCAAGCCAGGTGAGAACGTGGCCGGGTGTGGTGTCTTGTACTCCCTCTCTAGAACCTAGCTCACATGCCCCACATCCCAGCCAATCTGACGCACTGTTTTCTTTACAGTCTCACATTCAGCCCGCTCCGCGCCAATTAATTCCTCAGCCGATTGTCACCAGTTCTCGTTTGGCACATCCCCTACCCTGTAACCCATTAACCACTGTAGACCAATTGAAGAGAGAAAGTAAAAAGAAAGTTGCTAGCTCAAGAAAGAATAAAAAAGCTGAAAGAAATTGCGTATCAAAACCTCCAGTCTTGACTTATGAAGGGTTTGGTGTTTTAGCCGAGGAAAGGAACACACCTCCACAGTTAATATCTTCTCAAGAAAGTTACCCTCGTGTCCCTAGCACCTCCCAACCTGGTGTTTTAGGTGAGCTGTCATTGAGCAAAGGTAAAAAGGTATAAGTGTTTCTGCCATCTGTGGACAGTTTTGTTTAGCCTGGTTACACAGTTGTGTTACTTTGTTCTTACTTCACCACCTCTCCATCATGACCAAATGTTTTTCTGGTTAAACAACAGCAATAGCATGCCTGCGATTTTTGTTTCACACTTGTTTAGATTTCAATGGCTCCTGTTAAAACAATTACAGCTAAAAAAAAATTTTTATCCTGTTTGTATTACTTTTAAAAGTTGTGGATCATTTTCATTTATTTGATGTTTTAGAATTTTTAAAACTTGAATGGCAAATTTTTAAAAAGTTGATCAAATTGCATCCAGTCATGTGGCCCTACTGTAGACAGCTGTCTTAATATGCTGCTCTCTGTCAAGAATGTCTTGTCTGCATGCCATTTCCAGTTTGTTACATTTGTTATTCAAGCATGAAATGATCTTAGCATCTTGATCAAATGTGTTGTATTATTTCTGTATTTGATCAACGTGTAAATTTTGTTTTTAAATTTTTTTAAAGTGTTAAATAGTGTATACAAGTTTTTTAAATTATTATTCCATTCTCAGAATTAAATCAACGTGAATGTTTTTAGCTGACTTGTATTGTTTTCCATTAAAACTTGTTCATAATTAGATGCATGTTTGTGTTATCTTAGTCTGTTCCCTTTGTGACAGGACCATTGGTCATGTGATCACATTATTTCCATTAAATATAAGATTTAAAAATTCACATATTAGCAGATATGACTAAAAAGCTTGTAAATATTATAATAAAATAGTTACTTGATGATGGTGACTTATGATTTTTATTCAATTTTTTTTTCTGTTTGCAGGCTTTGAAGCCACTTAAGAAAAGAAAAAATAACCAGAGTCCCAAAGACAGGGAGAAAAAGCATGTGAGGGACGATGAAATGTTAAGCAATAGTTGTGATAATGAAGTAGACTCTTGTAGTAGTAAACTTTGTACAGATGATTCTTTGGGACAAGTCATGTTAGGGGAACTTGAGATTGGAACTACCAAACAAAGTGAGTTGGTGTTTGTTTTGATCTTTAAGGAAAGTTTAGAAAAATGTCATTTGCCGATTGAGTTTGTTTCTTTAACTACAGCACATGAAGTGATAGCACTGTTTTGACGGTTTTTACTTTGCTAAGTCGGCTAACATTAACACAGTTTTGCAGTTAGTTGTTGGAATAGAATCTCTCTAAAGCGGCCCTTAATAATCAATCTAGTCACATTAATTGACCAAAATTATTGTGCCTTAATTTCAGACAATATCCCAATTACATTACCTGTGTAGATCAACAAAATTTGCTAATTTCAGGCAACAATCCAATCACATTACCGGTGTAGATCAACAATAATTTGCTAATTTCAGATTATATCCCAATGACATGACCTATAACACCAATTATGTGCTGTTTCAGACAACAATCCAGTGACTGTAAAGAGGATAGAAGAGCCCTGGGCAGAACACATCAGCAAACTGTGGCAGTGTGAACCCTTTGATTTTGATGCTGTCAAGCACTACAACTACACCATGTCCAGACGGCCGCCACACTGTTCCATCTGCTCTCTGTTTCAGAGATTGGATGTAAGTCATGCCTTGTGCATTCATCTCTCATCTCTGATTTTCTTCATTTAAATCATATGTAGGGATATTTTTAATTGTGTAAAAACATGTATGTACATATGTATTGACATGTCAGTAAGAACCATTGCAATAAATTGTCTAATATCCTGTACAACTAGTCAGAAAAGGAGGCTGAGCTGTGGAGTACAGCACCAGTGGAGATACCCAAGAGAAGCCTCCCCATGATACCTGAGGCATCATTTGCTATCAGTGCCACCAACAAGAAGCCAGTCTGTGATTACTCCCCACTGGATGAGGATGGTCTGAGTGCACTGTTACAGTGCCAGAAGTGCAATGTCTGTGTGCATGCCAGTAAGTAGTTGAAGGAGTGTAAGACAGAATGAGGGGGGGTGGTCCCAGCTTTGTAGAATTCCCTTCAGTAAAAGTCCAACAGTGAAAAGTTAAGGTAATGTGTAAATTAGTTTATTTGACTTGAATCTTGTTCAACTTGTAGGTTGCTATGGTGAACAGAATGGTGTATCTGTTAGCGACTGGACATGCTCTCTGTGTCAAGCGGATGGGGTGGAGGATAAGGCAAGTCCTACTTCTGTCTTATTTTCTTCCTTATGTTTATCATTCTAGTGGTAAATAGGACCATACTGTATTGTGATTTAACAACTTTAATGTATGCTAAAAACAAATTATTTTTCCTAAACAAATTATTTTGGGTTAAATATTAAATATTTGACAAGTTATTTTTTATAATCATCTTGATTATATAATCACAGTATACAAAATAAGTGTATAAAGAAAATGTGTATAATTTTATTTTGATTATGTAAGCACAGCATAGAGATGTAATAAATGTATAAAAGTATTTTCATAATTTCACTTCAGTTGTATAAGCACTGTTTAGAAATGTGAAAGTATATAAGTAAGCACAGTATAGAAATGAGAAACTATAAATAAATAAGCACAGTATAGAAATGAGAAACTGTATACATAAATAAGCACAGTATAGAAATGTGAAAATGTATAAATAAAGTGTTGATTTTGTTGCCTTTAGATCTGCCAGCTGTGCTGTCTGAGAGGGGGAGCTTTAAAGCAGACAACAGAGGGCCAGTGGGCTCACATTGTGTGTACACTGGCCATTGGTGATGCCTCATTTGTCAATGCCAGGGCAAGGGCTCCACTAGACATTTCTAAAATCACAGCTCCAAGATACAAACTGGTAAATGTTTTATCTGCTCCATCATTGTTAAAAGTTCAGTTAACCTTTCAGACCTGACAAGGTGTTGGGCAGAAGAAATACAGTTAACTTGTTTCTTGATCAAGGCATATAAAGCAATGGTATGGTCAGTATTATACCCAACCTTGTTTACTTTCCCAAACAAGAGTCTAGTACTCATCTGAGTTGGGTGGACTCAAAGAGCATTACAGACTTGTCTGATAACTAAAATTCAGAATTTTGGGTTAACAGTCAAACACCTCATACTCCATCATTATAGTTAATTGGAATTTTGTTCATCATTTTAATTTTATATTTTAAAAAATACCAGAAAGTTTATCAATTTAAAAAAATAATAATTTTTCTTTATCATAAAAGTATTTTCTAATCCCTAATGTGAAAGAAATGACTTTTAATTGACTGGACTAATGCAATGAATCCACTCTTCCTTCAGAAATGCAGCCTATGTAGTGCCATCTCCCAGAACATCTCCCACCAGACTGCTTGTGTGCAGTGCTCCTCTGGTAGGTGCACCAAGTCATTCCATGTCACCTGTGGCTACGCAGCTGGGGTCAAGTTTGAGATCAGTGAATGGCCCGTCCCAATTTACGTCTCCTGCATCAAGCACATATCCACACATCACAGACTGGAAGGCAGGCACAATGAAGAGCTGCGGGATTTGAACCAGGGGGATAAGGTGGTTGCTAAACATAAGAACCGCAGGTTTTACTGGGCCAAGGTCATCCATGTCCAGCGTAACCGGCTGTATGAAGTTGATTTTGATGATGGCTCGTTTAGCGAGGATTTACTCCCTGAAGACATTGAGGTAAACCAAATCTGTGATTAACTGCGGATCTTACGTTCTATTTAATAGTGCTTTATCTTGTGTTTGGAGATTTGACTTTAAAATTGTGTTGTTCTGTCATTTAGGGTAGGGATTGCTTGAAAGATGGTCCACCCAAGAAAGGAGAGCATGTTAAAATAAAATGGACTGATGGAGCCCTTTATGGAGCAACTTTTAGAAGGGTCAATGTGCAGGATCTTTATCTGGTGGGTGCTTTTGGTTTTCTATTAAAAAACTAATGGTTTATATCTGATGAACTTGAATGTCTGAAGGCGCTAATGTCTGTCATTTGTTTGTAGATTGAGTTTGAGGACAGCTCTCTGCTCCAGGCTAAGAGGGAGGAGCTGTGGGGGGAGACAGAGGAGCTGCCTAGATTTGTCAAAAACAAAATGGTAATTTTTGCACATTATCCCTTTTAATCTTCAAGGTCATTTCAGTCACCTAGCTCAACAAGAAGGTTTTAGGTTAATACAAAAATTGTGGTTCACATATAATTTTAGATTGTGACACATACTCTTTAAGAAATAAATTTTGATTATATTTTGGTACCATCTAGATAAAGCAGAAATAATACAAATTGTAATCAGTTTACTTTCAACATTATATCACAATTATTAGGTTGATGTGAAATGACCTGGTGGTAATTTTACCATAGCTACTTAGCATTGCAGTAAAGATCAAGTCAGTATCCCCTAGCTGACTGGGATTAGTCACAAAAACTGTACTAGTTTAAGGTGTGGGGGTTTTGTTTTTTACTCAAATCAAAACCCTAGTTTGTTGCTAGATCATTGAGTTATCTGCTGTGGATGATATGGTCCAGTTGCATATATCAAAAGTCTAGAATTCATTACCATACATCTTTGAGCTGCATTGCAAACCAATGGTAAATTCAGGATATTTCACAATTTTTTTTTCCACCATTACATACTCTGATGGGTAATTAAGGGGAAAGAAAAGCTGACTGAGCAAAGTGCTGACCACGCATTCTTTTTTTTAAAGGTCACAAAAAATGGTGAAATACCCTCAATTAACTAAATTAACCACTGGTTTGCAATGCAACTCTCTAAATTACATTCAAAGGCCTAAGATGTTATACAATCTTAGTACTGAACTCAAATTCTAGAAATATTTAGAAATGTAAAAAAAAAAAGCTAAAGCAGTTTACATTGTGGAAATAGTTCACTTGATGAACCTGGTAATTAAATCATGGCTCTAAAATTGTCTTTACTAAAACTTTCCAGTCTCTGGCCACTGACAGCAAGTTTGACTTGTTTGAAAAAAATAGTTCCCAGGTCAGCCCTGATGGGAAGAGACACAAGAAAAAGGTCAATTACAAGAAGTTGGGGAAACAAGGGGAGATCATTTGAGTCTGCTGATTGGATTGTTGTTTTTTTACTTTCTCGTATATACGAAGTATAGAGAAAGTCTTGTAATCGTGCAAAAAAAAAAAATCGAGATTTTTACAAATCTCGACGTTTCACACCTCACTGATACGGAAAAACATAATTTTGCAATCTTGTCCGTATGTCTGTGTGTCTGTGTGTCTGTGTGTCTGTGTGTCTGTCTGTCCGTGTGTAAACACGATAACTTAAGAACCGTTACAGCTAGGTTGATGAAATTTCATATATAAGTATTTTATCAAAATCGTAGATCCGTATCAACTTTTGAGCGATTTCCGATAACCGGAAGTGGTACTTTTCCTACTTTGAATTTTTCAAAAGCCTATAACTTGAGTACTATTTCAGATAGATAAATGAAATTTCATATGTAAGTAAAAGATCTAATTCTCTACCTTCTATCAAATTTTGAGTCATTTCCGTTGACTGGAAGTAGTACTTTACGCTACTTCCGATTTCTCAAAAAACTAATGTAAATTTTAAAAGTAATAATAATATTGCGCACCATTATGCGCTTTTTTATTTGGCGTTCACTTGGTGTGCAATTAATTTGTCTACGAGATTTTATTCTATTTTTAAAACTTTAAGTATTTAAAATGGATTAAAAATCATGTCTATAGCCCGAGTTCCCATCCCCTGTTATTTTATATAAGAATATTCGAGAAAGTTTAGGGGAGATCACTCCCGGTTTATTTTTTTTTTCACTGATTGAGCAATGTGATACAATTCTGTACAAATAATTTATAAACAAATTCTTCCAAATTCTGCTCTATTTTTGTGTTGATATCATTTGACAGCAAAATTTTGATTGTATGTAAAAACCCAATGTGCAGCTTTTCTTTGATTTGTACAGTTTATTGTATATGTTGATGTTGTAGAGCACTAATTTTAATCTGATTTTTTTCCCCTCAATTGTGAACCATATCTATATCATTGGTTCTAAAGATATGATTGTTACTTCCTAACTTAAATAATTACTGTACATGTTAGAATTGATAAATTGTTAAAATTAATTGCTTCCTTTTTATGCTTGAGAATTTGTATCAATAAATGTTGATAATTGTATAAGTATATATGGATTTATTTTTTTTTATTCCCACCACATTACAGACCTTAACTATTTTTCTAAACATTAAAAAAATAAGAATCTTTGTGCCTTGTTTTTTTTTATAAAGTACTGGAGTGACTAGGGGCTCAAAATAATAATAAAAAAATAAAGCTTTGAATCAAAATAATAACAGACAGATTTTATTTTGTCTAAAACATTTTAAATGAGAACCACTCATACATGAGCCAGATATGACCAGTATACTGGCCTACAACAGCATCCCCTTAACCCTTTGGTTGCTGTCTAGCTTTTGATTTTAACAGCAACAGCTATGGAGGTTAGGAAATGACTTGTGACCAGCTACTAAACCATGATAAAAAAAAACCACTGAAATTTTCATTCAGCTCAAATAACTTTCACTCCATTTACACACCAATGTGACACGCTGCTAATCCAAATCATCACAGTAGTTCCTTGTGTAGTAATGATAGGTACAGCCTCTAAACAATTCAGTGATTCTATATAAATTAATGAGTCAAAATTTACATGTCAGTACTCAGTGATGTAAAAAATTATTTTTCTTAAGTTCTGATATAAAAAAAATGCAACTACAAATGCTTAGTAATTAGTAAAATAAATTTTTATAAAAAAAAATTAGCAAAACAAAGTCGATAGAAAGGGTGAATCTAAAAAATTTGTTCAGGAATATCTTGATTTGTACAAAACTGGTGGGAGGTTTTTCTAATAAAAGATAAATTTCGGGAAAAAGGGTGCTAAATTTGAAATTATTCCAGTGATTCTTAAAAGTGTTTTCTTTTAAAGTTTTAACAAAAAACTTCAAGACACGAACAGGTTACCTACACTCAACTGAATACCACAGGTAAAATACCTGATTGTCACTGACCACTGCATCTTATACAAATCTCAAACAGGAGGGAGGGGGAGAGAAACATGGCACAACAGAGACAAAATAGCACTTGAGGATTTAAGCAAGCTTTCAAATACTACAGCACCAAAATGAAAAGGGGGGAGGAAAAAAGAAAGCAATAAAAACAGTCCTGCTTTAACAAAAACTGAAAATGAAAAAAAAATTGACAGTACAAAATGTTTCTTACAGAGTGTTATATATCCTCATCTTCGCCTTATGCATTGTCAGCAGTTGTGTTTCTTCAACATCAAGGTAAAGCGCATAACTTAAAATTCTTTACAGCACTGCCGTACAGTACAAAAAAAAAGGCATAGGGCACTTGCGTTTTTTTTTTTGAGTTAAAAAATTACATTTGAAAATAGTCAATATTACTGGCAATTGCAAATTTAAAAGAAAAAAAAGAACTAATGATGTATTATATGGGATGACAACATAATTGTAGATTAACACAAAACCCACCAGCACATTAACAATTTTAATGGCAATTAAAAGCCAGAAGGCAATTGAAGGGGAGGGGGTTACAGAGCATCAAGCATTGTCAAAAATTTCTATTTATTGAAGCATTTTACATATAATACATGATGATGAATACACTAGTGAAGAATGTTTACATTTGCATCATGGACAGTCTCCATTTCAATCATTTATTATACAAAAACTGCATGGCTATACACGTAACATGAAAAGATGAAATAAACGTCCACTGACGCAGTTGTACCAATTTACGGATACATCATCATCCATTGACACAACTACTGCTTGTGGTACATCAACATTTACCAGTTTTGCTGCTGAACAAAGGGGGGATATTATTCTCACTTGACAATGAAAAATATATGGAAAACAACTTCTCAATCTGGTGAAGACTTAAGGTAGAACATCATTTGTTGAATTAAGTTTAACAAGTTTTCATTTTTTGTTGAATTTCATACATTTTGATTGTCAAAGTCTAAATGCACCACTTATAAACGCGCCTGATGCTAAATAATAAAAAAAAACATAATTTTTTAAAATGTTTATTTATAGTCCATCAGGCAATTTCAAAACAATTGGGATTTTTGTTAATTTTTTTTGTCATGGTCAAAAATAATATTCTTCAACTATAGACTAGTGTAAAATTAAACAAAATAAAAACAGTTCATTATTTTTTTTTAATTTATTTCTTAAAATTTCCTACATACATTTTAGACAGTAGCCAGCAGTAACCAAACAATTTTTTTTTTATAAATCTGTAATTTACACGTTTCCCTGGCAATGATAAACTAAGCTTGTGAGTATTCATTTTAAAATAATTTGCATTTTTTTTAAGAAGTTGAAGCAATCATAAATTTATGATTACTTAAACTAAGTACAGACTAACCATGAATTATTGATGAATGGATGTTGCTGCTAATCTTGGGGATTTAATTCTTAAAATTATATTCAGCGAGAAATAGATAATTTGAGAAAATGAGATTAATATAAGAAACATAACGCTCTGAAATAAAAGCTTGATTATCATGCATAATTAACTCTGAATCCAATTTTCAACTAAATTTAACTGGCAAAACAATTTTTTTTAAAATAAACAAACAAGTATTCCAGTAAAAATGACAAGACACCTGATCAATTCTTTGTTATTTATTATGTCATTTGTAGTGGGCAGCTTAACAAAGAGGCTGTTGTTTTTTTTTTTAGATTTTTAGTTTTCACAGACATTATGCAAACAGTGATGACATTCAAAGTACATCTTGTGGATGTTACATTTTATAAGTCTTTTTGTTCGCAAAAGTTATCTAAAACCACACCTACGCTACGATCACGCCAATCAATATCACCTATGATCAATGTGATTACTTTCCACATCAATACATTACCCCAAAATTCCCCAGTCCCTTCAAAGACCAAGGAAAATATCTACAAAACATTAGCCAAAGTAAAATTTACTTTTTGACTTAACTGGCATAATAATGTAACATTTCCTGGCCAGGGGAGTGAATCTAAGTTGTTCCAGGAGGAGTGGAATATTGTCAGCTTTAGAATTATGTCCCCTGCTAGACCACACTATGGGTCTACACAAATAGTGGGAGGGATTTCTCTTGCAATGTAGAGAGAAAAAACAAACTAGTATCATGTCAAAGGCTGAAATCATAAAACTAGATGGATGATCTTTATAAAAAAAACAAAATAAAAATAAGCCTTTTAGAGACAAAAAAATCATCGACCTCCATGAAACTGAGTCAAGCTGTTAGCACTTTTAAAAAAAGAATCTATCAGTTAGTAAATACTGTGAAACTATTTCAACTCTAAATAAACTGTTCTATATTCTAAGAATTTGCTCAATTTCATAGCACTTTTTTTTATAATCATGAAAACAAAATTTTCTTTTTAATGTGTCAGTAAATTTTCAACTGCTGCCTTTAAATTAATGTTGGGTCCGTCAATGTTTAATTAAAATCTGTGAAAATTCCAGGTCACTCATTATAAAACAGAACATAAGGGGAAATAAATGGGTAATTAAAAAATTAGCTCCCCTGAATAAACCTTGTCACCATTGTTCAGGACATTCTGTAATGCCCTCATGCCATTAAACCAAACAAAGAACACACATGATTTATCTGCCCTTGAGGAGAGCCACATACATACATACATAAATATACAAATATAGTAGCCCCCCAATACTCAATTTTCTTATTCAAATATTGCTGTAAAAACAGTGAAAATCTACTTCCTCATGCACAAAAAAAAAACCTGACTAAAAAGGGCTAACAATGCAGACAGCCAGTCTTAAAGTAGACTCAAAAAAAAATAAACTTTACTCCCATCTACTCTTCTGGTAATAGCAAGCTTGTTTTCCCCCACAAATTTATTTATAATATATACACATCAACGTGCAAGATGAGTCTCAATGTAGGACCAGAGCGTGTACAATCAGACTTGAAAGCTCCCGTAGGAAGAAAGAATTTGTGTATACAGAGTTAATGTCCCTAGTTCTTGTCAAGGCTTGTGAAACCTGGGCAGGAAGAAATCAAGGAATTAGCATGGGATAGTGTTAAGTTTTACTGGATAATGACAAGTTTAATTAGCATGAGATAGTGACAAGTTCAACTACACTGGGAAAACACCAACACGTACAACTTACCGTGTTAAATGCCTACTCTGCTCATGTACGTCCATTTCTTTACTCTTGAATTCATTTAATTCTTTACGAATAGCAGCCTGAAATAGACCATTTCTTTAGTTATATAAAGTCACTAGGCTTAAAGCCAGTTCAATTTTCTTAAATTTACTAGATATACTGAGTAATGTACCAACCACACTATCACCTGTACCAACCACAATACCACTTGTACACACTTATGCACCAACCACATGTACTAGTAATGTACCAACCCCACTACTGCCTGTACCAAGTAATGTACCAGCCCCACTACCACCTGCACCAACCCCACTACCACCTGTACCAACCCCCACTACCACCTGTACCAAGTAATGTACCAACCCCCACTACCACCTGTACCAAGTAATGTACCAACCCCCACTACCACATGTACCCAGTAATGTACCAACCCCCACTACCACCTGTACCAAGTAATGTACCAACCCCCACTACCACCTGTACCAAGTAATGTACCAACCCCCACTACCACCTGTACCAAGTAATGTACCAACCCCACTACCACCTGTACCAACCCCCACTACCACCTGTACCAACCCCCACTACCACCTGTACCAAGTAATGTACCAACCCCCACTACCACCTGTACCAAGTAATGTACCAACCCCCACTACCACCTGTACCAAGTAATGTACCAACCCCACTACCACCTGTACCAACCCCCACTACCACCTGTACCAACCACCCTACTACCTGTACCAACCACGTGTACCCAGTATTGTACCAACCCCACTACCACCTATACCAACCACCCTATCCCCCTGCCCTACCTTATCCTTGGGTGTGAGTTTGGTCCATGGTTTGTCTGCTCGTCTGTCATATTCATGTGCATCAGTAACCTCAACATAATCACTAAAGTCGATAATTTTTCTCTCTCTTAGCTCTTCTATACTGGGCCGAAAGCTGAGCTGTAATGGTGAGAAGAAATCATGTCAAGGTACAACTAGCATCAACATACAACGTAATGCCTAGCATCAACATACAATTTGATGTCTAACATAAATAAAAACATGTCAAACATCAAAATACAACTTGATGTCTAACACCAACATACCATTTGAAATCAAACACAACATACAACTTCATGTCTAACATCAACATACAATTTGATATCAAACACAAACATACAACTTAATGTCAAACATCAACATATATCTTGATGTCCAACGCTGACAAACATGTATACATATTTAATACAATGTTACATCACAAAAGGGCTACGTTAAAAATGCCCTTTTATCTATTCAAAACTTATTTATTAAGTAATATTCTCACACACCCTTTTTTCATGCATACAAGTCCACATTTTAAAGACCTTTTTATATTTCACTAAATTATTACAAGGCACTCTTCTTATGAAACTTATAAAATAACCTTTTAAAAACATGCCTAATTTTTTATTTTATCATTGATATAATGTGTGTGAACAACTTGCTAACAAAACCCTCCCACAGTGACAAACACCACCAAGTACCAGACAACTGAGCTAAGACTTTGGCTGTCACTACAAAACTCTGAAGTAAACTCAATAAAGATTCTCGAATACAGAAAGTTTCTTGCATTTGAGCATTTGCAAACATTGTCTTGAGATGGTTTTAATGATAAAATTCAGCTTACCTTCCGGAGTAGATATCTCTTTTTCCTTTCTTTCTCCGCCATAGCTTCATCAATGGATTGTTCTATTAAAGTTAAAAAAAAACATTACAGCATTGTGGTTGTTCTATTCAGGTAAAAAAAAAACAAATAGATCAGTGTGTTTGTTCCATCAAATCTCAATTAAAATATTTAGTTGTTAATTTTTGTAGAGAATTTTTCTCTAAAAACATTGACTAAAACAAACAACTGTGACAAGAAATGGAACTTACGATGTAGAATATTTCTACTCTCTAACTCTTCTTGGGTTGGTCTTTGGCTCAGGCGCCTGAAAACAGAAAAAATTAAAACCAACTCAAATTTTAATTCCTTCACCGAGCTAATTAAATTGGTTTACTAAAACTTGGGGAGTAGTTTTTACCTTGTAAGTTTGGACCCTATGTGGGAATATTTACTTTATGTTTGTTATTTGGGAATGTTAACCTTGTAAATTTGCTATGTGGGAATGTTTACCTTGTAAATTTGCTATGTGGGAATGTTTACCTTGTAAGTTTGGACCCTAAATGTTAATGTTTACCTTGTAAGTTTGGACCCTATGTGGAAATGTTTACCTTGAAAGTTTGGACCCTATGTGGAAATTTTTACCTTGTAAGTTTGGACCCTAAATGTTAATGTTTACCTTGTAAGTTTGGACCCTAGGTGGGAATGTTTACCTTGTAAGTTTGGACCCTATTGCTTCTCTCAACTCCTTTTTCTCGTTCTCTGATTGAGCTGGAATGATATTTTTGGCCACCAGTTCATTTTTGGAGGGTCGACTCTCCAGAAACCTGGCCAGACTGTCATTTCTTGCCACTTTGGCAGCTAGTGAATCTGGAAACATGTCAACAATATTTGATGCCTCCAAAACAAAATGGCTGACAAATTTCAAACTGAATGGGGTCAATCAGTCTTTAAAAAGTGTTCACTAATCATCCACGGTTGTTAATGAGAAAAGTGTTCACTAATTGGATGGAAGATTTGAGAGAATCAACTTACTTGGATCGTAGTCATCTCTGTATTTGATCTCATCATCCTCGGAGTCTGAGTCGGCAGCAGAGTAATCAGGTGGATTACTGATCTCAACTGTTGGGGGGTTAATGTTTTCTTTATCATTCTCTTTGTCAGCCCTGGAAATATTTGGGTAAACAATCAACAAATTATTGTATTGAAACATCTGTCTGGCTATTCAACAAACTTTTATACTGAAACATTTGTATGGCTATTCAACAAACTATTATACTGAAACATTTGTATGGCTATTCAACAAACTATTATACTGAAACATTTGTATGGCTATTCACAAACTATTGCATTGAAACCTGTCTGGCTATTCAACAAACTATTGTATTGAAACATGTCTGGCTATTCAACAAATAATTAAACATCTGTGTCTGATTATGCAACAAACTTTTGTATTGAAACATCTGTGTCTGGTTATGCAACAATGTATTGTATTGAAACATCTGTGTCTGGTTATGCAACAAACTATTGTATTGAAACATCTACATCTAGCCATGCAAGAAATGAGCGTACATGTTATTTTGTATAGTGACCCGAGGGCGAGGTGTAGGTCGGGGAGCCACCGCAGGTGTAGCCTGGGGGGTGAGGAGGGCTGGGGTGCCCTCCATATGTCTGGGTGCTTGAGGCAGCAGGGGTGGAGCTGGTGGCACCCCACAGTTACTGGCACTAGATGAAAAGGTGGGGCCGGCCCCAGGGGTGGGGCTTGGACTGGCCCTACTGGTGTCCAACGGCCTGGCTGTCCATGTTGTTGAAGTGGCTCCTGTAATTAAAAAAACAAATTAAACAAATTACTTCAGTAACTAATTCTTAAGACATTTTAATTTTATACAAAGCACAATAAAAAAATTTTTAAAAATTAAATAAGAATAAGATAAATAAGAACCCGTTCAAATAACAACAATAAAAAAGGCAAAGCTATGCAAATTTGGACCAAACTTTAATGAAACAAGAAAAATGAAACTTGTTAGTAAATGCATAGGTTTTTTTTAAAAAAACCTTCATTCAATATTAAGTCAGGTTAGTCAAAAACTGTGGTTTAGTTTTCAAATATATCAGAAACAAGAAGTTATAAATAAGATGCTGGTAATTTTAGAAATGCAAGCTCAAACTGTCTTTTATAAACTCAACATTCCAGCTTTTTAAATTTAGAGATGAAATGCAACACATTAATTGATAAATATTTTAGATGTTGGAAATCGCACATTATTAAAACAGGTTAGAAAAAAAAAAGTTGTAAATTTGCATGAGCAATGAAAATTTCCCAGTCGGGGCAAAATATTTTTTTTAAGTTGACCAGCACACCTGAGGCTGCTGATGACTTCTTGAGTGCGGATTTCTGTGGCTTTTTGGTCAGGTCAGGCTCGCTGGCTAGGACAGCTTCGTAGGGAGACTGGGGGTTGATCAGACCTGGGTCAATCACATACTTGTTGAGCATATCGCTACCTTCCTCATCCTCTTCATTATCACTGTCCTCACGGTCCGAGTGGTAATCTTGAGGAGCTGGCAAGACAAGGATAAAGGGTTAGTACATAGGTCATAACAGAGAAATAGAGGGCTAGTACATGGGTCATATGGAATCTAACAGAGAGGTAGAGGGTTAGTACATTATAGGTCATATGGAATCTAACAGAGAAATAGAGGGCTAGTACATAGGTCATATGGAATTTAACAGAGAAATAAAGGGATAGTACATAGGTCATATGGAATCTAACAGAAATAGAGGGCTAGTACAAAGGTCATATGGAATCTAACAGAGAAATAGAGGGCTAGTACATAGGTCATATGGAATCTAACAGAGAAATAGAGGGCTAGTACATAGGTCATATGGAATCTAACAGAGAAATAAAGGGCTAGTACATAGGTCATATGGAATATAACAGAATCTAACCAAGAGAATCAAATGATGAGCTAACAAAGAGAATAAAAGTAAGTGGATAAAATTAGATGAGATAGATGGGGCCGGCTATGAGATGAGGGCCAACAAACAATGCAAAGTTAACAAAAGGGATTAAGAGCTTACAAAACAAAGAGAACACACAGGGTGAACATACAAACACGGACTAAAATCACCATCATCACATACACTACAACCCAATTACAGCACACAAAACATAAAAGATTTATGTCCAAAACGTACTCAAACACTAACCCCACCCCCACACACACACCACAACCAACCCCTTAATATTCTAGTTCTAAACCACACAAAAACACAGTACCTCACTAACCCATCCTCCTTACCCCTAATTAACCTCATCCCCACCCAACAAACTAAAGTTTAAACACACACACACATATACATACACACATACATCCATCCATCCGTCCGTCCGTCCGTCCATCCATCCATACATACATACATACATACATACATACATACATACATACATACATACACACACAACATAAACGTGTACATAGGTCATATGAAGTCTAACAGAGAAATAAAGGGCTAGTACATAGGTCATATGGAATATAACAGAATCTAACCAAGAGAATCAAATGATGAGCTAACAAAGAGAATAAAAGTAAGTGGATAAAATTAGATGAGATAGATGGGGCCGGCTATGAGATGAGGGCCAACAAACAATGCAAAGTTAACAAAAGGGATTAAGAGCTTACAAAACAAAGAGAAAAGATGGAAATGATACATCAACTCATACAACAAAACAAAATTGGAGCACAAACAGTAAAAAAAAAAAAGAAGGTAGGAAAAAAAATGGTAGCAGCCAAAAATGTGAGGCGCTAAAAAAAAAGTGGCAAGTCAGAGCAGGTGGTGTACATACCTACAGCTTTAACTTTAAAAATGCCAACAGGCATTGAACCAGGGAAAACTTGCTTCATTATTTTAACTATAAAAATCTTGTTGAATTTTTGCTGGCTCCTTGTGCTCAGGTATACAAATTGTGTTTGTGTGTGTGTGTGTGGGGGGGGGGGGGGGTATGAAAACCAACGCAGTCAAATTGTAGATGACAGACACATGTAAGACAATGAATATTACAACTGTACAAAGAAAGGGTAAGACTTGAAGCTGGGATGCAGGGGATTAAACTAATTGTTGGAGATTGGGGATTTAGATTAACAATGTCTGGTGTCAGGGTGAGGGTAAAAGACAGGTAGTCCAGGTGTGAATAACAGGTGAGTGGGACTAAATTATGGGCGTGGATTTTAGGAGACAGTGGATGTATGTGGGGGTGGGCAGTGGTCAACTGGAGTTATGAGACCAGGTGGATTGAGGTGTGTGGAAGGTGTATTGGAAGTGAATGTTAGTGGTAGTCTATCAAATGATATCTTTTAGTTAGAGCCTGTCATATGAACAAGAAGAAACATGAAGCATTTGTGCTAAGTGTTAAATAAACTCTGTTTACATTGGGAAAAAATCTCTTCAAGGTGTTGTGGCCTTTCTAATTAAGTGAAATCTTGCTAGAGGTGGACCAAATCACTGACACAGCACAAAAGAATTGCTGACAAGCAGAGATTTGAACAAGCTTAAACATCAGTGTTTACATTCAATGTTTTCTACATAGCACTGATACAAGCTACCAGTCTACAGTTACATATGTAACTAGATGTGTAAGGAAATATGTAATGTATATAAATATGTAGGGTAATATGTAGTATCATAGCATGTTAGGGTAATATGTAATGTTTTTAAAATGTGTAGCGTAATATGCAGTATCAAAATGTGTAGGGTAATACCTAATGTATCAAATGTGTAGGATGTAATGGATCAAAACACTATATGAATTTATGCACTGTGAAATAGTCAATTACAGGGAATGAAAAGATAGGAAAATATCAAGTAGCCAACATTTATACGTGTACCTCTGCTAAACTTAATTCAGCAACAAATGGCGTATGGTGAGTGAAAGCAGACTAGCAACATCAACAATTAAATATAAACAACTTTTGGTGCATGAAAGCATGGTAGTGAAGGCATGAATTATAATCATGTGTTGGTGCATACAAGCAGGACAGTTAATGAATGAATTGGTGTCTATAAGCACACAACAGTATTGTAAGTATAAAATACTAAAGAAAATAAACTGCACTGCGTGTCTATAGCACACAACAGTATTGCAAATATAAAATACTAAAGAAAATAAACTGCACTGCGTGTCTATAGCACACAACAGTATTGTAAGTATAAAATACTAAAGAAAATAAACTGCACTGCGTGTCTATAAGCACACAACAGTATTGTAAGTATAAAATACTAAAGAAAATAAATGGCACTGCGTGACAGCAGGACAGCCTTTTATGCAGGACCTGCCTGTAATACAGGTATTGCCTGCCTGTAATGCAGGTATTATTACCTGCCTGTAATGCAGGTATTATTACCTGCCTGTAACGCAGGTATTACCACCTGCCTGTGACACAAGTATCCCCACCTGCCTGTGACAGGTATCCCCACCTGCCTGTGACAGGTATCCCCACCTGCCTGTGACACAGGTATCCCCACCTGCCTGTGACACAAGTATCACCACCTGCCTGTGATGCAGGTATCCCCACCTGCCTGTGACAAATCACCACCTGTCTGAGCCTCACCTACTGGCTGGAATGATACAGGGAGTCTCCCTCCAGGGACCATCTCTGGTGCCACCTGCGCCAGCGCTTCCGTGTACTTGGGGGGTGGCGGATGGTTCATGACCTCCCTGGTCTGGACAGAGGGACTGGGGCATCTTGGGGGTACAATAATGGGTCGCGCTTGGGCTGATGAAGCTATAGAGCCTGCAACACAGGGGTCAAACAGTTAGGTTTGTGGGACAGAGGTATGAAAACATTCACGTCACATTACGGCAAAAATTTAGTTTCAACAATAAATTAGTCACATGTCAACTAATCTCATTGTAAGCCTGGTCAAGTCAGGAACTTAAAATTTATGATTTGAGTTCTAACCCCGCATTTACACTTGCAAAATGTATACTATATTTCTAGAAAAAACAACTTTGCAATAAGTGAGTAGGCCCCCTATCATGTTTGAATAAAATTAACTTACAGCAAAGTTTTTTTCTAGACGTGTATAGAATACATGTCGCAAGTGTAAAGTCTGTGTTAAACTGAGTCAGAGTATACTGCAAACTTCATTTAAAGGTAGAAAATATTAAGCTTATTTTATGTTATGCTATCTACATTTAATGGTCATAGAATTATTGTATCAAATTAAAAAAACTCCACTTGAAGACAGCCATTTACCTGCATTATTTATATTAGATGTGACTACATTCAATGGGCATACAATTATTGTATCAAATTAAAATAAAACTCCACTTGAAGACATCAATTTACCTGCATTATTTATATTAGATGTGACTTCGGCCTGAGTTGTGACTGTGGGCAGTATAACAACAGGGCTGGCTGGCGGTGCCGCTGGGGCCCAGCTGGAGGAGTTTGTTGTGGATGAAGGGGCTGAGGTGGTGGTGGCCCCCACAACTACGGTAGGGGCTGAACTAGCAACAATGGTGGGGGCCAGGCTATCCCCCACAGAGTTCTGACCATCTTTCTTCAGCACGCTACCGCTAATCTCATGGTTTTTGTTCAGTTCTGTGTCCGGCTGCCTTTCTTCCTCGCTTTCCTTCAATGTTTCTGAAAGAGGCAAGTGTGAGTAGAGGAGTCAGGCAAGTGTGAGTAGAGGAGTCAGGTAAGTGTGGGTAGAGGAGTCAGGCAAGTGTGAGTAGAGGAGTCAGGCAAGTGTGAGTAGAGGAGTCAGGCAAGTGTGGGTAGAGGAGTCAGGCAAGTGTGAGTAGAGGAGTCAGGTAAGTGTGAGAAGAGGAGTCAGGCAAGTGTGAGTAGAGGAGTCAGGCAAGTGTGGGTAGAGGAGTCAGGCAAGTGTGGGTAGAGGAGTCAGGCAAGTGTGAGTAGAGGAGTCAGGTAAGTGTGAGAAGAGGAGTCAGGCAAGTGTGAGTAGAGGAGTCAGGCAAGTGTGAGTAGGAGTCAGGCAAGTGTGGGTAGAGGAGTCAGGCAAGTGTGAGAAGAGGAGTCAGGCAAGTGTGAGTAGAGGAGTCAGGCAAGTGTGGGTAGAGGAGTCAGGTAAGTGTGGGTAGAGGAGTCAGGTAAGTGTGGGTAGAGGAGTCAGTAGAGGAGTCAGGCAAGTGTGGGTAGAGGAGTCAGGTAAGTGTGGGTAGAGGAGTCAGGTAAGTGTGGGTAGAGGAGTCAGGTAAGTGTGGGTAGAGGAGTCAGTAGAGGAGTCAGGCAAGTGTGGGTAGAGGAGTCAGGCAAGTGTGGGTAGAGGATTCAGAAGAGGAGTCAGGCAAGTGTGGGTAGAGGAGTCAGGTAAGTGTGGGTAGAGGAGTCAGGTAAGTGTGGGTAGAGGAGTCAGTAGAGGAGTCAGGCAAGTGTGGGTAGAGGAGTCAGGTAAGTGTGGGTAGAGGAGTCAGGTAAGTGTGGGTAGAGGAGTCAGGTAAGTGTGGGTAGAGGAGTCAGTAGAGGAGTCAGGCAAGTGTGGGTAGAGGAGTCAGGCAAGTGTGGGTAGAGGATTCAGAAGAGGAGTCAGGCAAGTGTGGGTAGAGGAGTCAGGTAAGTGTGGGTAGAGGAGTCAGGTAAGTGTGGGTAGAGGAGTCAGTAGAGGAGTCAGGCAAGTGTGGGTAGAGGAGTCAGGCAAGTGTGGGTAGAGGAGTCAGGCAAGTGTGGGTAGAGGAGTCAGGTAAGTGTGGGTAGAGGAGTCAGGCAAGTGTGGGTAGAGGAGTCAGGTAAGTGTGGGTAGAGGATTCAGAAGAGGAGTCAGGCAAGTGTGGGTAGAGGAGTGTGTTGAGCAGCAGGTTGTGGTATGAGTCATGGAGTCAAGTCTGACAAATGCGCCAAATGAATTAATGTTTGAAGAGATGAATTAGACAGGTGAGACACAGGTGGATGTTAAACACCTGTGAACATGCCGCCCACAGTGTTGAAATACAAATAAATGTTATAATATCTATTAGCTATACCACTGAGTGGAATACTTCAATCTTTGATTAAGATCAAGATTCCATTAGGTATACCATTGAGCTTTTAAAAAATGTTGATCTTTGATAATGATCAAGATTAGACAGGGTTATGGCCAAGTTTGAATGTGATGGTATTTCAAAAGGAAAAGTTAAGTAAATACTGTTAAACACAGAAGTTTGGTAAAAACAGAGATAGCATGAACATTCACTTCACAAAACACCTCAACAAGAGTGATACGTTATTAAAGTTAACTAAAAAAAAACAAAAACAGAACAACTTGATTAGTAGTTGACTTAAATATGTAAAACCCAACACATTGGTCACAAATGGCCCTGGAAATCATTATTTTAATCAACACTTTCAAAGCTGATACCAAGACATCACTTAAAACACTGATTATGTTAGAAGTGATGCTTTGAACATGAAGTTTAATGAACACACAAACATCCATCCTACTTTTAAAATCTGGAGCCAGAAATAATTGACCAAACCACCTGTATCTCACCCACACACCCACACCCACAAACACACATATACACACACAGCCCCACAACCAAATGAAGACAACCAGGTGTACCCAGCCACCTGACTGGAATCACAAGCCACTGCTGGCAGATAAGATAGAAAGGGGGGGGGGGCTTCAGGGCAGTCAACTGGACAGGTAAGTTCATCAGCACTCACAACCAGGTCAGGTGACCTACATGAGCACTCACTACCAGGTGAGGTGACCTACATGAGCACTCACTACCAGGTGAGATGACCTACATGAGCACTCACTACCAGGTGAGGTGACCTACATGAGCACCAGGTGAGATGACCTACATAAGCACCAGTTCAGGTGACCTACATGAGCACTCACTACCAGGTGAGGTGACCTACATAAGCACTCACTACCAGGTGAGATGACCTAAATGAGCACTCACTACCAGGTGAGATGACCTACATGAGCACTCACTACCAGGTGAGATGACCTACATGAGCACCAGGTGAGATGACCTACATAAGCACTCACTACCAGGTGAGATGACCTACATGAGCACTCACTACCAGGTGAGATGACCTACATAAGCACTCACTACCAGGTGAGATGACCTACATGAGCACTCACTACAAGGTGAGATGACCTACATGAGCACTCACTACCAGGTGAGATGACCTACATGAGCACTCACTACCAGGTGAGATGACCTACATAAGCACTCGCTACCAGGTGAGATGACCTACATGAGCACTCACTACCAGGTGAGATGACCTACATGAGCCCCAGATCAGGTGACCTACATAAGCACTCACTACAAGGTGAGATGACCTACATGAGCACTCACTACCAGGTGAGATGACCTACATGAGCACTCACTACCAGGTGAGATGACCTAAATGAGCACCAGGTGAGATGACCTACATGAGCACTCACTACCAGGTGAGATGACCTACATGAGCACTCACTACCAGGTGAGATGACCTAAATGAGCACTCACTACCAGGTGAGGTGACCTACATAGGCACTCACTACCAGGTGAGATGACCTACATGAGCACTCACTACCAGGTGAGATGACCTAAATGAGCACTCACTACCAGGTGAGGTGACCTACATAAGCACTCACTACCAGGTGAGGTGACCTACATGAGCACTCACTACCAGGTGAGATGACCTACATGAGCACCAGGTGAGATGACCTACATAAGCACTCACTACCAGGTGAGATGACCTACATGAGCCCTCACTACCAGGTGAGGTGACCTACATGAGCACTCACTACCAGGTGAGGTGACCTACATGAGCACTCACTACCAGGTGAGATGACCTACATGAGCACTCACTACCAGGTGAGGTGACCTACATGAGCACTCATTACCAGGTGAGGTGACCTACATAAGCACTCACTACCAGGTGAGATGACCTACACGATCCTCACTACCAGGTCAGGTGACCTACATGAGCACCAGGTGAGATGACCTACATGAGCACCAGGTGAGATGACCTACATGAGCACCAGGTGAGATGACCTACATAAGCACTCACTACCAGGTGAGATGACCTACATGAGCCCTCACTACCAGGTGAGGTGACCTACATGAGCACTCACTACCAGGTCAGGTGACCTACATGAGCACCAGGTGAGATGACCTACATGAGCACTCACTACCAGGTGAGATGACCTACATGAGCAAAAAAAATGTATTTAACAGCACTATTTAATTTATTTTCTTTCTAAGCGCCTATCTATACTTTAAACAGAAACAAACCCTATTCAAAACGGAAATGAAAAACTATTCAAAATCCAAACACTCTACATATCCCCTGGTATTGTTTTTTTAAAGAGATGAAATAAGAAATTGCTCATCAAACTTTGAAAAAAAACATACGAGCCCTCAATCTAAACATTGCCTCTAACTATTAAAGGCCAGTAGCCAGGGAGGGGTGAGAGGGTTGGGGGATAAATGGATAAAGAAATGTGAGTGTGTAGAATTGAAATGCATCTATTTTTAAGTGCAGCAGGTAGGAGGGGCCTGGCTAGTTACCTGTCTGGTTAGAAAGGTAACGAGGTTTACCTTTAGACCCGCGGCTGATAGACAACCCCCGGGGGGGGGGGGGGTGATAGATGAGATTCGTCTTGTTGGGCTTAACTCAAAAAAGTTGCCGGAAATTTAAAAAAAAAAAAGAAAAAACGAGAGCCAACGTAAGTGGGTCGTTGTGCTACTTTTTTTTTTTTAAATCGAACTTTTAACATAATAAAACTAACATTTGAAAGCATTTAACCTTTAACCCCTCCTTCAAAAACACACCGTGATTCAACTACTCACACAAAACGTATTTACACACACACACTGGTCCTGGCTTATCTCCAACACTACTACCCACTCTCATACACTCACACACGCAAATCGAAACACTCATATACTGCGCACACATGCGCGCACTCTACCCCCCCCCCCCACTCGACTAGCAATCACCCCCCCCCCACACACACACACGCACATTGTCTAAACTCTCACGCTAATGTTCTATAAACGCCACTCTTTCACGTGGAATCCATGTAAGCCACCGAAACACGTGAATTAACTCATCCCTGCACACACAACGAAGAACTCAACACACACACGCTCACACACTGAATCACCAATGTCTAACACACAGGTACTACACATGTGCTCCCCTCGACCCTACTTTACACACATACATAAACACACATAAAGAACACACTGGGTGAACATGCAAACACTGACTAAAACCACCATCATCACATACACTACAGCCCAATTACAACACACAAAACATAAAAGATTTATGTCCAAAGCGTACCCAAACACTAACCCCCCCCCCCCCAACCAACCCCTTAATATTCTAGTTCTAAACCACACAAAAACACAGTACCTCACTAACCCATCCTCCTTATCCCCAATTAACCTCATCCCCACCCAACAAAGTAAAGTTTAAACACACACACACACACACATATACATACACACGCATATATACATACATACAAACACCCAAACATCCATCCATCCAGCCATCCATCCATCCATCCATCCATCCATACACACACATACATACACACATAACATAAAAGTGTCAAACACGAGAAAGTTACCTCTATAAACCCACAAGATGGTCGCAGTTTTCATGGGTCTACCAGCCTTACTGAGCATGATTTA